CCAAACTTCAGAAGACACCTCTCTCAGCCCCAAGTACAAGGCCAACGATTGAATAATGTCACCAGCAAACGTGGAATCATCTGTTTGGATGGTGACTTTTCCATTTGAGTCCGCTATGAAGCAATGAAACTTGTTGTCTCTCATTCCTAGAAGCCACATTTCAATGCCTCCGTGGTTTTGTCTATCTTCGTTAACTTCAAATTCCTCCGGAAGGATGAGACTTTGGTTCAGCCAGAGAGCGATTCTTTGAGGCCTTTCTGCCAGCTAATTAAGCAGAGACGAATGTCTCATATTCACAGAAACGGTCCGTCTCAATTGACTTTACAAGTGGCTATCACCACGGACACACTAAAAGTCTCCGTTAATATTACTATGTTAGGTAATCAATTTATTAATTAAATACCTCGGTTGTAACGCCACTTTTCCCGAAATCCCCCGGAATTTGTACAGGCCGTTTGATAACTTCGTACATACAAAATCTAGGCAATTGACGAGTCATCTCGAACACCTACATATTTAATCAGACAAGAATATTGCAACAAGATTTTCATTTATAAAAGTCTTCGAATTTATTTCTGGTACCTGCAACAAATCTGAGCCAGCTGGACCAACGCACACTTTCACGTGCATGTCCACTGGGATGTTTTTTGGAGGACGAAGCTCTACTTCGAGTTCCCCTCTAGGCCTACTAGGATGGACAACCAGAGTTTCTCCATCGAATACACCTTCGGTGAAAACTATAGCACAGTAAATCTAAATACGATAAACGTTAACATCAAATTTGTAGTATTTTAAAAGTGGTAGAAAGATATGAAGAAAGGATTTTATACAGTGACTAAATGACTCACAAGTAATCCAGGCCCTGAAGCAAGACCAACACGAGCAGCGCCCGCAGATGTCATCAAATTAACAGCCAATTTCGTTCCTTGGTACATACTAGGCAGAGACGTGGCTCTCTGTCTGAGCTCCATTTGAAGTATCTGCTTTTTTGCCAATAATTCACGCATAGCTTCGCCAGGTTCTGGAGTATCCATCGTAGAACCGGAACCATACCCACGTACTGAATTTAACAAGTATTAAAATTTTTAAATATTAAAATTTTCAAATATTCAAATATTTCAATTAAGCGAAGTTAAGCGAAACATTCTGCTCTACCTTCTCCAGTAGAAGACACCACGACTAAATCAGATTTACCAATTCTCCTATAATCAGCTTCCACAATTCCAGCTACTCCAGCGGATAATTGAATTTTAAATATTACTTCGCCTGTATTGCTCGACCTCGCGTCCACTTTTCCATTATTCCAGCCAGTTATGACTTCCAGTGTACCGTCTCCGTTCAAATCGAAGCTCCTAGTAACCACCACTCTGTGCTTCGACTGAAAAATTGATCGAATCGATCATTTCTATGACTTCAGTTCAATCATTAACTTTCTTCTGGATTACTTTATTCTTAGATTTGGACAGACCTTAACACGCCATAGTCTTTGTGCCATTTCGTAGACGCCAAGAGTGCCATTCCCGACTGAATAAACGAATCGTCTGTTAGGAAGTCCGGTTAAAGTGGTAATTGCGGCTGTTTCCTTGGTTTCCCAGAGAATATTGTCTTCTTTATGTACTTTTATTTCGAAATCCTTTGTCCCAGTGACCAGCTAAACATTTTGGTATAACTAAAGAATGATTTATGGTAGTTAGAGATGTAAGAACATTTTTTAAATAAAGTTTACCTCATTCTCGTCGTCTCCATCAAAGTCAAAGATAGCTAAAGAGCTGACTACACCTCCTACCACTGTCCAGAATACATCTGTGCCTTGAGAATCTAAAATTGTTACAGAACAATTGCCACCAACAATGGCAACCTGATTGGGGAACCAGCCTAACTTGCCAATGATAATACATCTTGCACCATCAGACATCTGATTAAGAAAATTATTTTATTTTATTGTGTATTTTGTATGTTTAATTTTATTTAAGTACCTCCTTATAAAAAATATCAGAGTTGTCTTCAATGTGGAATGCCAGGACATGAGTTGCAGTTCCAATTAGAAGAACATCTCTTTCATCATCGTTAAATTTACCAGTGCTCAATGCTGTGATCTAATTATGCATAGAAATATTAATTATTGTTTATGTGTAATTTTGGATTTAATAAAAATATATTTTTTTAGTTAATCATACCTCAGTTCCTATTTGAAGTTCTGCAAGTTCACCGCTCCATGATAATTTTCTATCAGCCTGCTCATGATCATGACCGGTTATTTGTGGTTGCCTGTGAGGGCTGTGGACCAAAATATTTCCACCATACGTTGCAGCTGCTAAACAAGCGTGAGAGCCGTCAAATTTCCCGGAAGTGACAAGGCCGGGCTCCACGTGTTTCTGAATATTCAGAGAAAACGCTGCCATTTTAAGGTCAGCTTGAATGATTATACATATTCTAATGGATAATGACAACTGCCTGTGGTTCTACTTATTGGGTGGTGGACTATTGATTTTTTCCTGGTTTACCTGTGAACTTTACCTGCTATACTGAACTATACATGCTGATGCTATATAGTTGTAGTTGTTGACTTTGAAAATAAAGTACAGTGTAATATATTAATGGAAATTACATTGTGTATGGTTTATTTTATTAATATACATTTTAAATGGTAAAATGGTAAAGTAGGAGATAATCAAAGCACTTTAATTAAATCATAGAATTTATTCAGAAGGTACAATTATAGTTTTTTACAATTGTAATTATGCAAATGCACTGTATATTTATAAATAAACGTTTCGCACACAAACACACTTGGAGACACCACATACACTCCGTATTACTGTCTTTGGGTATTACCACCTGCTGCTCCACCAGCTTCTGGATTTGTTGCAGATGATAGAACAACAAAGATCAATGCAGGAACAATGTACATCCACTGAAATATAAAAACAAAAATGTATAAGTTATATAGAAGACTAAGATATATTAGTGCCATTTAAATAAAAGAACTTACATATTTTGCAAAGATAGATCTATTGTCTTTGGCTTCTCCTCTTTCTCTTGCTTCTCTCTCACGTTCAAGCTTCTGGATATATGTGGCAGTATCTGGAATTGGTCCACCATCAGGGTATTTAACAATAACATTGGTTGTCCACATGTTTGTAAAGGGTCTGTCCATGATACAAGGACCAGGTGATGATATACTAATAGCTATTGGTTCGGCTGCACTATCTAGCCAAATTGTAATAACATCTTCAAGATCAGAACCAAGAAGATAGCACTGTAAATAGAAAGAAAGATCATAAATAACATGTAGGTACAAGTTTACATAATGAAAGAAATATAATTACCGCAGGTACAGAAGTTAGAAATGTTATTTCACTACTCGAAGAGGTACGGGCTACTGCCATAAGTCTGTATTTGCCATTGTGTCTGGCAAGGTTCTGTAATTCACTTATATCAGGCTGTAACAATCCTTTTTGTCCAACAACCGGGGCACCACTACGGACACTGGATACCGTGATATTACCTCGTTCTATAAAAATGGGATTTGGCTCGTTGTTAAACGCGTGCAATAATTTTAAATGCAGCCAGCCGTCATAATCAAGTTCGTTCTGAAATTTCATGGAACATTTCGTTAAAACGTGGTACAATATTAAAAGTCATCATAAATTCGAAATTATACTAACCCCACAAACTAATGACGATATGCTGATTAATAAACTTATACAGAAATATAATACACGCATTATTAAAATTATTTATCTACTATGATACAAAAAAAAAATCAAATCGATCTCATTTTATAACATTAAGGTGTTTTACGATTTATTTATCAAACAATACCAACAGAATGTACGAGTTTCCGCACTGCGGCTCAATTGATTTGACAGTCAGTGTGCTGGCATTTAAAAGATGAAATTATTTATATTATTATGCATTTATTAATTAGTTCTACTGAGTCTCATTAAATTTGAATTATATTCAAATTTTATTTCTCTAAAATTATTTAAAAAACTCATTGGTTTCAATGTTAGGCAGTGTATAACATACAATAGTTTCCGTAATTTCTTTTTCTTTTTATTGGCCACATTCTAGTAAATATTTCAGGTGTGAAATAAAGCAGTATACCGCTCTAACCAATCATTTCAGCACATTATATAGTGTATAATGTAACCACGCCCACTATCATTCTTTGGGGATTATTTTTAACACAAATATAAAAATATCTTATAAAAGGATTTGCAAGTGTAAATGCTAAACAATGTTTCTTCGCTATAGTTCTATATAAAAATAGATTGATTCACATATGGTATGTAAAAAATATATTATAGTAACTTTAGTACCCAAGATGCACTAGCTATGGTACATTCAACATAACTTTTTGAGACATCATCGGTGTTGATTCATCCCCATCATATTGTATGCTGCTATGCATTTGTGGTGCTGCTATGTTGTTTATCGAAAGTATCAGAAGCAGTAATGTTACTTAAATTTTGCAAAACTAATAATTCTGTGAAAAGTGTAGGGACAGAACATTATATAGTGTCGCAAGAATTATAATTCTAGTTAACTGAACAGTGTATAGTAAATGTACCTTACATAAAATAAACGATATATCTCAATGCATGTTTATGTACCAAAATTGTAATCGAGTAAAGTCTGTTCTAGTGTTTGAATTTTCTTGTAATAACAGCGCAGTATAATTTATCAAGGTAAGCGCAATTAATAATGTACACTAATTTTTATTACAATATACATATAAATATATAATAAATGTGATAGAGATATTTTAATCATCATCTATTTATCATGTATTTCTTTAGTTGCAATGTGAATACTTTTTGTTTTACAGATGGATGATAAAGATCCAACAAGTGTCATCAAAATGATAAAGGATTTAAGATCAGGATCTGAAGCATATCGTAAAAGTACTAGTAGTACTATGTCCCTGAGGTTATCAGGAACTACATTTCCATCACCAATATTTAATGACCCGGAGGGATGTTGCATTTCACCTAAAAGACCAAGATTGGATGAATCTAGTAATTCTACTTTAAATAGAAGCGAAACAGATAATGTTCCAGGTAGTCCTTGGGAATGGAGAAGACTAAAAGGAGAGGTAATATATATTTTATTGTTTTTCAAGTTGCAAATACTTGTTGAAATGGAGTGTATTGGAAAACCTCTACATTTGTTGCATTTAGGTTGTGTCCTTAAGGACAAGGTTGTCTCATCAGGAGGCTGCTGTGCAGCAGCTTCATAAAATACGTAGACAAATGGAAGAGGTTTTTGAGAAGGAGAAAGGTATTTTGGAAATGCAAGTGGAACAGGATAAGCAAACTATCAAGCAACTGGAAGTACGGCTTGATATTTCACGCAGAACAGTTCAGGAGGCACAGGTTGCACAGGCTGCTGCAGAAAAAGAATTGTTTCAGGTACAGTTTTTATTGAACTGCACTAATTATTTTTAAGTTATTCTATTTTTATGTCTAATGCATGAATTTTGATTTACAGGTAAAAACGAATTTGGAGCAAAAAACTATGTCACTAATGAATGAAAATGCAAAGCTGACGGAAGATCTCAAACAAGCATCTGTGCAAGATACCACACCAGTGAAAAAAGATGTTACTGATGTATCAGACTCGCAGTTGACACTCAAAACAGCGCAAACGAGAATAGCACAGTTAGAAGAAAAATTGAAGGAGTATCAGGCAAAACAGCAAGAAATGGAATTGCAAAACGTGGAATTGCAAAGTACAAAAATAAAGCTTGAAAGGTTGGAATCAGAAAGGGCGCAGTGGGAGGAAGGAAAATTGTTATCGGCAAGAGCAGCGAGGGCGAATGACCTTGAGAAAGAACTTAGCATCGCAAAGGAGACTATCATGTCGTTAAGGGAATCTGTTCGAGGAAAATTACTTTTAGAAGAACAAATGGCTAATGTAATGAAAAGGTACTTATTTCTATCAGTTCCATGATTTACATAACCATAAATTTGGCCATATACCTTTCTTGCTATAAGTTCTTTTGCTATTTTACAGACTAGAACATACAGAAAGTGTGGAGCAACAGGTAGCCACACTGGAGGGAAAAATGACGGAACTTTCGTTGCGTTTATGCGAGTACGAATCTATCGGGATCACTGGAGGACCATCTGTTCTGAAACGCGAATTAAATCGACTACAACAAGCGGAATTAGTCTTAAAAGCGGAAGAAGGTCAGCTCAGATCAAAATTAGATGCTGCATTGAGGGAGTCCGCATTATTATCGAAGAACTACGAGGAAGCCAAAAAATTAGCCACAGACGTAACAGCATCAAAGGAAAAATTGAACAAATTAGTGAGCAGGTTGCAGAAGAAGATGATTCTTGTCACGAGGGAGAGGGACAGTTATAGACAACAGTTGGACTTATATGAGAAAGAAATTACAGTGGATAGCAATACCGCGATAACCGAAAGGATTCCTGTGTTGGAACGTACGATAGACACCTATAGGTAATTTCCAATTTTATCTGAAAATTGTTTCTTTAACACGTTAAGCGCCAAGCCTGTTTTGTCTTCCTTTTCGTTTAGCCCGCGATATCCGATTTCACCGATATGTCGGGATGAAGAAATTCCAAGTAGCAGTACTGTAAATATACATCAAATATCTTGTCACAAACTGCAACAAAAAACTGGAAGAGTGTCTAAAGTTCGAAGATATTGTACAAAATGCTACGAAGATAATGCAGCACGATTTGGACGAGATATTGCCAGAAAGTTGACAAAACAAGTTATAACATTCTGTGAAACCTGCAAAGGACAACCATTTTTTTGTATATCGTGTTATAATATTACTCATTAAAATTTTTTTTTGGTAACAAGTAATATTTAGGTACATTCTTTTATGATCTCCAAATTATTTAAAATTTATTAATAGAAGAATATAATTTTTTATATTTACCGACTGACGCGGTCCGAACGGGGAGAGTATAGTGTCAGTCACCGGTGACTGACATGGCGCTTAACGTGTTAAATGTTTTAACATGGTTACTGAAGAGATTCGTGATTTCAGAGAATTAGTTGCCAAATTAGAATCAGATCTTCAAACGGCAGAGGGTCATCTCCAAGCGGAAGAGTGTAATAAATTACGCGAGGAAATCAAGCGATTGAAGGGTGAATTGGAACATCGAGCGTTAAAGGGTGATTTCAATTGCAACGCAAGAGTGCTACATTTCACAATGAACCCCGCTGCTATCGCGGAACAACTGGCGGAAGAGAAGCAAAAGGCCCTGTTATGCGAATTGGAGGAGCTGAGAGCAAAAGTAGCACAGGGTGGAGCCAATACAACAGCATCCTCCCTTCAAGTACAAGGTAATCACCTTTTTCTTTTTTTTTTTACTGCATGTTGAGAAGGAAAAATCAAACAAATCTTTATATATATATCTTAACAAACTATTGTTTTTGACAATGTCTACGAAAGCAGCTTACACAAATTTTTTCTACTAATCTTTACACCCTATTTTCCTTTTATATTTAGAAATAACGGAGCTTAAACAGACTCACGAGATCAAAATAGCCCGCCTCAAGGAGGCTTTCAAGGCTTCGTCGCAGGAGTATCGACAAGCTTGTTATCAATTGTTCGGCTGGAGGGTAGACAGGACAAAAGAGGGTCGATACAAGTTGTCTAGTCAATACGCGGAATCACCAGAGGATTTTCTGTTTTTCCACATTGGAGAGGAAGGAGTAGATCTTCTGGAGACGGCGTTCTCTGCAACGTTAGGCTCGTTGGTCGAGCAACATCTGCAACGACAACACAGTGTGCCCATGTTCCTGAACGCTGTACAAACAGACCTGTTCAATCAGCAGACTATGACAAACGTTATGAGCTGATTCTTCTAATTGTCGTTGACGTCAAATGAAACTTTCACGTACCATATCTGGCAAAAGAGAGGTGAGGCTACTTCTAAAAAATTATGTAACTTTATTATCGATCAGTTTATTATCAGTTTTTATCGATCCTTTATTATTTTTTCATATACATTGAAATATTCTTTGACAAATTTCCGAAGGTATTCTTACATTAAAGACTCTTCAGTTACGAAAGTAGAGATAAAATTTTATGAATTAAGTTAGACATTTTTTTACTTTCACATTTAATCAACGATTAATAGATGTTCTTATCGTTTATAGCAGACTTTCTATCTGAGGAGTAGGAACACAATGTAAAGATTGTTTATTATTTACTTAAAGAGATGGAAAATTATAGTAGACGATTCTTTACCTCTATTCTGTTCTTTTATTGCCAGATCTTGTGCGTGCAGTGAGAATAAATCGTCGAATAACGTTTGCTCGTTACGTTAACGTGTATTTTCAGTACTCTTATCGATCAATGGGGATAATCAATAAATTATGCCATACAGTTTTTTATCCTAACCAATTTCTCTCTTCCATCTAAGTTTAAGCGTGTTCATTTTGACCGATCCTAATTAAGCTTCGAAAATTTTCTTGCGATTTCACATCTCATGGTTGTACCGATATCGTCGAACCGTTAGATATTTCGTTAATTCCTGGTGTCCGAAATGAAACACCAATTACGGTCAACGGCGCGAGGCTAATCCGGCAACTGCACTATCATTATTCGCTTTACTTATCACAGAAACCAGTCGATTCGAATTCGCAATTATTTGTAATAGCGTTGCCAGGTTAATAACTTCGTTACCGCGATTTGACCATTTTGTATCCAACGTAATTGCTAACAGAAGAATACTCACGTATTTGAAACTTTCCGAATTTTTCCTCTGGAAGTTCATCAGTCTTTATATTCTAAATCGATACTTTCACCAATATTGAGAAAATAGTTTTCAGACGTTCCTTTATTCTCATGCAGATATTTCTCTGATATAGTGTTAAGTAATCGAATTATAAGAGTATTCCTTCTTCGTAGAATTGTAACACAATATAGTTAAAAAAATCACAAATTAAATAGTAAATATCATTTCCAAAAATAAATCTAAAGTAACGGAAGGGTTGAATAAATGATACAAGTAATTGAAAATTAAATTTCTCTCTTATAATTAAAATTTCCTGGAGGATTTCTTTCATATTTTCGAATTTGCGGTTGGCCTAATCTCTCTGCCTCGGACAGAAGATTCGTGGTCACTGGTCCAGTCCCATTAAGTCGAAGCTAGTTTGACCATTGTGGCGACCCAGTACTTAACGCGAGAAACAGCGGCGCTCCTCTATAACTTAGGGATTTCCGGTTGAAACTTTAGTTTCTGTCTATGTGCCCGAATGGGTTGACTCAAGGCAGACAATGTTAATCTTGCGTCCAATTTCGTCAGTACACGGAACTAGAAACTTCGATGAAAGAATCACTTTGTCAAGGTGCGCGGACTCGCTCGTACGTCTGCTTGCCTTTACCTCTATTTCGTGCAAATTTTGACGATTAACAAACAATGAACTACCATATGAACGAATAGAACTCATTACGATCAAGCTTAACGACAGAAGGTAAATTTTAACGTTGCTTAGTATAGCGATAGTTGAACGTGTGTCGACAATTAAGTTTATTTTTGCTAATTATTTTCTTTGGAGGTAGACAACTATTTTTATAAGAATTGACGTTGGAAAAGTGTAATTTCAAGTATTGTATCGAATTTTCTTTGGAATATTTTTAACACAGTTTTCCTGTTTTGAGTTAATTTAAATAACACCAGGTATGTGAAAGAGAAACATTCCTTGTTTTTTTAAATCTTCATTTTGAAAATTTAAGTATTGAAATTTTCTTTCTTCGAAAATATTTTCCACGTATTTCTGCAGAGTTCCAGAAAAAAGAATAAAATTTCAGTGGAAATAACTCTCACCACTTTTTCTAAATATTCGAAACCATCATTTTGCTTTAAAAATTCGAACACAGAATTAAAAAAGACGAGGATAATTCTCAAGTTAAGCTCCAGTTAAAATAATTCTTAATATTCACGAAAGGCCAGAAAAATTCTCAAAATATCGACTTTCGTTTGCGAAACAGCGTTCGAATTTCTACATTTCATACATTCCATTCAAATTTACGATCACTTAAAGTCAACAATTCCCAATTTCTCCCTCTATATGCACCTTTCCCTCTACCTGCATTTCTTTCCATCACATTTTCCGCGAATAATTGCACCTTCGTCATTCCTTGTGACTCGTAGAACGATACCGGAAGAACCATAAATTCGACCATCTCCCACCACCCTCCTTTGTGCTCGATAAATTCGAACACAGAATAAAAGACCCTCTTCGCACACATTCACCAAACTTTCTATACGAAAAGTTGCAGTTCACCTAATGTATACTTAACGTTCCCTGGTGCAGGAGACGAACGTACCCAAACGCTTACAAATGACGTCACAACGATGCAAACACGCAAAAAAAGAAGAAAAGAAAAAAAAACCCCGGAAGAGTAATTCCTCCTGGAGGACCCGGTGAAAATCGTTCATCTCAATTATGTCGCGGTTTCACCGGGTCCTGGGGGCAATTTTTCGAATTCTTATCGCGTGAGAGAAATGCCATGCTACTCTGCGTTTATGGCAGAGGATCGCATGAACCATTCCCATGGGATCCGTTACCAGGCTGTTCCTGTAACCCTACGTGTCTGCGAGAAGGACGGGAGTTCCCCGCGGAACGATTCCAATTGCATTGTCTCGCGAAGAAAGGCTACGGGGGTGGCCAGTCTTCATTAGCCGGGCCAGAGCAACCCCCGTAAAACTTATGGTAGTCGGAGTTGAACGCGTACGATAGACTTGTCTCCGCGTGTTTATTATTGCACGAGGTAAATAATCGAGGAGTGGCGTGCAAAAGGGAATGGTAGCGTGTAATAATTCAAGTATGAGATCTCCTGTGTTGCAACGGTGTCTTTGAGAAATTTTTCTTCCGGTTCAGAGCTCACAGAGGTTCGTTTAGTGATCCGTTTGTGGGATTGTCCTTAAGTATTGCATATACTATTCGTTGCATAAATAATTAATAGCAGTGTGTGGAGAGAATGTGATTTAAGTTTCTAGTATACGGGGTGTTCCAGTATTAAGCAATATAGCATTCCATTTAAAAAAATTAAAGTGACTTTGAAATTTTCACCGTCCTAGCATGTACAAAAAAAAAATAGTTACACCACATAACGTCCCCCTCCATACCAAACAACTTTTGTTGAAACATTTTGTTCGTAATATCAGTTCCTTAAAAGATATTTCACTGTATAGAGATAAAACAGACACCCTGTATACCCTTTTCCTATAACGTGAATTGTTTTAACAGTTGCAGTGTGGTCTTTTAATTTTTTAAATTCGCAGTATTACGGTAAATAGACTATGTGTTTTCATGGAAGTGTTAATTGAAAATTTTACAATTGCTACAGTCGATCATGAACGCTTTGTGAACGCAGCACTTTTGTATTTTTGTGGAACATAGGAACTCGTTGTGCCTTACTTCCTTGTGTTATTATAAATCCACAGTACAATGCACGCATAAATAGTGTATATACTGGTAAATAACACTAAATAAGTCCCAAAATAATCGTTTTTATTTTACGATGAAAAAACATAAAAATCACTCCTTTATACTTTATCTTTCGTATTCCACAACACTGATTTTTCTTCATAGAGAGTGATTAAATCGGTGATTTCATTTCTCCACTAATTTTTTTTCCTGACCTTTTTTTCTCGTACGAGAGTTCTGTAAAGAATACAAAACTCCTTCCTGTTTGCAAAGCAACTGTTTATTCGAGTCGTAACTCTCAGAGAGTTGAGCTATACTCTCGACAGTCAAGCTCAGGGGTAGTGTCTACTCGCGAGAGATACTCTCGAGAGCAACTCGCGATAGTTTTACTCTCAAAAGGACAGTGGTTTGAATTTAAAAGAGGCGCGTCTTTTTACCGTGATCGGCGTGTGTCCGCCGAGCGGCGTTGGGAGCGGCGATCGCGCATGCGTCGAGCGAAAAAAAGTATGGCGTATGGGCGCGTCTTTTTACCGTAATCGGCGTGTGTCCGCCGAGCGGCGTTGGGAGCGGCGATCGCGCATGCGCCGAGCGAAAAAAAGTATGGCGTATTGTATTGTATTAAGACCACGTGCGTGGCGTTTGTTCTCGGTTTTGCCA